AGGGACGCACGATATTATCGGCATCGGCCGATTTTAGCGATAAAGTTAAATATCGAATATCGGCCATTCCATCAAAATAACTCACAGATATAACGGGCGCTGTTCATATATATAAGCTTTTGGATGACAACCCAGAAACAAGGATGCCTGCAGCGTTAGGACATCACGCGCGCCATTGAGTTTAAATATGTGAAAACTTACAAATGTGCACTGTTCCAGTGTTGTCATTGTGTAGAGAGAGTAAAATATCATGAATAAGTTTGACATTAAACATAATCCAAGTTGAAATGTTACATAATTTTCAGCCCCCTTATTTGCATCTGCATTTGGTGGCAGGCCAAATTGACAAAGACCGTGCAGAATAATGTATTTTAATTCCACAGCAGAGAAAGCTATGTAGTCTCTGTAAGTAGGTCTAGGGGGAAAATATCGGTATTGGTTATCAGCCAAATAAGTTTTAACATATCGGCATATCAGATATCGGCCAAAAATTCAATATCATGCATCCGTATTTATAATTAAACATTTTCACCGGATATATTTTCACATTCATGTTTATCAGTATTAAGTCATTTCATGGATTTTGTTGTATCTTACAATGGAGCAAAGGACTCAAGGATTAACAGCTTGAAAAAAGATAATTTGACTATCATAATTAAAGTTGTTGAACAGTCTTGTAATCTGGATTGCTCTACAAGAAAGTGGCAACAATCACACTCATTTTAATCTACTCCTCTCTAAGGCAAAACCAGGACAGAGAATTGCACTTTTTAACAGAGCATTATCACACATGAGCGTCTTTTCATAATAATGATTGTTATTCAAGCTTTAAGCAGTTTTCTCTGGTTCACTGTGACTAAATAAATAAATAAGTCCCTAATGAAGACAACCTTAACTTCCCTTAAAGAAAAGCATATTTCCCACCACCTTTCATGCCTGAGTTTAAGTCTAAGGTTATGGCAGAGTTGTAGCCATTTTGGTCAAATATTGGAAATCCCAATAAACATTATGCAGAATATTAAGATCCCAAAGGGTCATCCAAAGTATATGTTGGGGATGACTCTCAGCTACTACCACACTAAATTTTAGCATATTATCTGTAACGTTAACAGAATTGTGTCTAAAGTTATGTTTTGTGATCTCACTTGTTTATGGCAGCCATCTTGAATTGTGTTGGCTCCGAAAGTTAATCAGTTATAGATGTGCAACCAGTAATTACTGTCTGAAACTCAATAAAATATGTTCAGGGGTTTATTTGATATTTTGCTAACAGACAGAGTTGACTCAAAGTTAATGTCACTATTTAAGCTAAGACTGTGTTGTGCTTCAAATATGTTTCCCTCTCTTCTTTTTTAGCTGCTCCCAAATGCAGGGGTCACCATAGCAACCGTAGATTTGGCCTTTGTTTTATACACTTCCAACCTGGTATCGAACCTGCACCCTCAGGATAGACTGCGACCTTAATCTCAGCAACTACCACGCTAAAGGTTTAAATTGGAACTGTTTGGACCTCACCAATGGCTACTGGTTTTAAGAAAAAATATTTTTTTAGCAAGAAACTGCAGATAACTCTACTCTTTAAAGCACAACTCCACCTGACAGGAGCAGGGTACCTTCATGTGCACATTCTTGGTAAAAATGCACTAAAACTTAGTTTAAAAAAATCTTCAACGCTTTCCTTAAAAAAAAAAAAAAAAAAGAACTTCAGAGTCTGTTTAAATTTAATACCTCGATGTCTTTTTTTTTTTTTAAAGATGTGCCCCTCCTCCTCCCAACACACTTTGCTGCCACCGTCATTTACAATACTGTCGTCACAAAGTCAATATAACTCACTCATCTGCACTTTTAATGCTTTTATTATTTCCCTTCCACAAGAGTTATATAGTCCCCGTCATCTCAACTTTAAATCTGTAGTGAGTCACGTGGGTACGTGTCACTTGTTGTATGACAAATATATGGATATATATTTATGCATACTTTTCACGAGTTCTTCATTTTTCTGACTGTAAATGCCGTGCATTGAATTTAACACAAAATGTAACGAGAGACGTTATTTATCTTTGACCCATCAAATGAATGGAGTCATTTATTTTCAGAATCAAAGTTTAACATCAAACATTTACATTAATTTGGCAAAATATGAAAATAATAACAGACAGTTTCACAAATAATGAACTTCAAATCACTCGGCGGTGATTTGAGGACTTTGCTTCAGATATTTCTAAAAATATCCGTACTGATTTATGAGA